TTCATTAATATTAGTTGTTTTGTATATAGTAAATATTAAAGTTTAACTAAGCTATAAAAAAAGCCTGACAGAATACATAAAATCATATTAAATATAAATACACAAATTGTAGTATACTTTATAATCATCTTCAAAAACTTGAACGATTACACAAAAAAATCAGATAATTTGAACTCACTAACATTTATTTTGAATAATTATTCTAACTACAAATTGGGCGCATTCTTGCAAGTTCTTTTGTTATGCCCTTCACCTCCACAATTTTCACATGACACCTTGTACTTCTTTGACTTTATTTCATCAAATGTTTTATATCTTTCCTTGTGAGGTTTCCCTGGCTGCCTTTTATCTCTCGCATGTGGCTTTACTACCTCATCCAAAATATGTTGTGGCACATCCCATTTGCTTTCATCAGGAAGAGGATTTACTGGCATTTCATAGGTAAGCAGAAGGCTCTTCCTTGTGTAATACGGAGAGCCATAGTTTTCGTATGTTTCATTCCTGTGCCTTAATGCTGCCAAAGCATGCGCACATGGAAGTTCATCAAGTTGGAATTGTCCGTAGCTACATTTCTTGTTTTCTAGACACACAATGTACCACTTCACACCATCTAACATAGTATGTATATGATATGTTGAAGCCCTCATCTACAATTGAAGAACAAACATAAATAATAATATATCAATCATTAAAAAGGATTATCCACAACTTACCTACAAATCAGCTACAAATACATTACAACTTATCTACAATCTACAATTACCCACAATTTGACTACAGTTTATCTACAATCTGGAAACAATGCATATTAAGCAATTTATTTTTTTTGCACCAAACAAACAGATCTTACCCTTAGTTTCTGAGATAATGTATTGTTGTCATCCAATTCTTTGTTGAATTTGTACCCAAGGTATGTGAAAGTACCCTTTGCCTTCAATAACTTCTCTTTCGTCCAACGTTCAAGAAGCGTCCTCATATACTCTAATAGATCAAATATTGGCAGCTCTCTTGCATCTTTTGTTACAGCATTCAACGACTCGGCAATGTTTGATGTCATAGTAAAAGTTCTATTCACCGTTGCATGTACTCTTGACCATCTATGATAGCCAATATCATATAGGTAAGATTTCACACGCGGGTCTACCTCTTCAATCTTCAACATCCTTTCATTAAATTCATCCAGAGTGTATGACCGTGCTGTAGCAAAGTACAATTCATGTAATTGTAAATGTCCCTTCTTGAATTTGGACCTTATATTTGTCCAAATATGCCACATGCAAGAGTAGTATGGCATGCCCGGATACNAGAGTAGTGTGGCATGCCCGGATAGACAATTGATGTTGCCTTCAGTATACTCTCATTCCTATCTGAAACAACACACATTGAAGGTCTTTCACCATATGCCTCCTTGAATTGCTCAAAGAACCACTTCCAAGACGCGTCGTTTTCAGAATCAACCACAGCATATGCCAAGGGAAATATAGTACCTACATTTTTAATTCATAAAATATTAATTGGCAGCCCTGAAAAGGTATATAAAAATATAATTAAATAACAACTACAATATATATTCAGAATATAGACAATTTATCTACACTTTTTTCCTTTAGCTACAAAATAACTACAATATAACTACAGTTTATAGACTGCCTACAAAATAACTACAAAATTATTATATTATTTACCTGTTGCATCCATGGTTCTTGCTGTAAGCATAATCCCCCTGTAGGCTGACTTTAAGAATGTCCCATCAACCACTACTACTGGCCTACAATGTTGCCAACCACTTATTGATGTACAAAGAGCAACAAATGCGTATAAGAAGTAATAATCTGCTGCCTTCTTCAATTTAACAATAGAACCAGGATAAGTCTCCTCAAGAATATAAAAATATTTGGGTAATTTGCTGTAGGAGTCAGACGGATTCCCTCTCAAAAACTGTAAAGCCTTTTCCTTGGCTCTCCATGCTTTCATGTAGCTTAGGTTCAGTCCATGTTCGGATAACATGTCAGTTTGTATGTCCTTTGGTGTGTAAATAGTCTTAGGATCACAATACTTGGGAACGACCATGCTACCAACTACAGCTGCAGTACGTTTGTGCTGTATGAATGTTTCGTCCAGTAAGGAGCATGTGTGTTGTCGGCTGAAACTCCTTATCTTGAACATTGCCGAATCATTAATTGACGTTGCCTTGAAGTGCCATTTACAGTTTTCAGCAACGCATATAAGCCAGTAGCTACAAAAAAAATACAATATTTAATACAGGCTATAGATGTAGAAGCAACAAAAAGGACTATTTTAACAAAAAGGACTGTTTTAACACTAATTTAAAAACTACAATTAATTACAGTTTAACTACAATTAACCTACAATTTATAAAAACCACATATCTTCACTAAAACACTGCTTTTACTGATATATTCACCACAAATAAATTCATACCTTCTATGACTAGATCTTTTTACTCTGAACTGGAACTTGTGCATCACAGAAAAATTCTTCATTGCAGCAGCTACAGTTTGCTTGTCCTGATAAACTTGCCCTTCTTCAATATATGTTTGCGTAGATTCATTTATTATTTCACTTTGATATTCCTCTATAGCTGGTGAGAATGAAATTTCAAGTAAGTTTAGGGATCCAGACGAACCTGCAGCAACATAGAGATAAATGTAGTAACTATGTAGATAATTTTGAAAACAACATTGCTTTATGAGCTTCAGTACATTGTTTTTGTAGTTAATTTGTAGATAAATGTTGTAATATTGTAGATAACACACTAACATAATAACTCTCTGTAATGTCGAATTAAACATACCTGCACTTGTGCTATCGTTGGTGATTGCCAATTCTATATTGAAATCTCTTACGCTTATACATAAAGGATACGAACCTAAGTTCTTATTCTCTTTTTTGGTCTCCATATACACACGAACCCCCATATCATTCCTAATCTCCATTGGAGGACAATTGCCGTTCACAATGTATTTGATTTCTACAATTTTATCCGATGTATCAATCGATAGTTGTTCTGCAATTATAGAAATCAGAATTTCGTAGCTTGCATTCTCATCTACCACAATGGCATCAACTTCAAAATCTCTAAATCTGCCATAGTGATCCCAATTTCCATTCAATTTTAGCATTATTGGGATTTTTGACATGATTTCATGTAGAGAGAAAAAGGATGAAGAACAGATATAGGTTCGACAATTTGAGTACTGAGGTCGATGAAGAACAATTTTGAATTCTACAATTTGTATTGCGTTGTAGAATTTGTAAAAGCAATTTGAGTACTGGAGCTTCTGAAGCTTGCGNAGAAAAAAGATGAAGAACAGATATAGGTTCGACAATTTGAGTACTGAGGTCGATGAAGAACAATTTTGAATTCTACAATTTGTATTGCGTTGTAGAATTTGTAAAAGCAATTTGAGTACTGGAGCTTCTGAAGCTTGCGTTGTTTTAGAATTGTAGTGAATGAGAGAATTATGCAGCAATGAGATCTCTTTCCGTTTCAAAATTCGAATTTAATGTGGAAAGAATCAAACGCAGATTTCGTGCCTTCTTTTTAGCGCGTTTTAAATGGCAGAATCTGCCTAATTATGGATTGGTATATAAATTGTAGTAAAAGTGTGGATTGGGCGGGTAATTAACAAATTATGAACATTTTTGGTAATAAGGTTTCATATATGGTATAGATAGGAAAAAATCCCTTAAAAAAACAAGGCCCAAGATAATGAAAATTGAGTCTGGCCTGCTTTGCATACAATTTTGAGAAAATCTCACTTTATATCCATAAATTTCAAACTATTTAATTTTTAATGCTCGGGCCCAAACTATTTATTACTTTTACCCATATGGCCCAAATTATTTACCCGCTAATTTCAGCCGTAACTTGCAAACAAATGGAATAGTTCCCGCTAACAAGGAATCTTGAAAGAGAACCTCAAGTGGTGAAATAGAGATTCAAACAATGGCTGAACAATCTGTCTTTGAAAAAATAGACCAGGATTTGTGCAAAAACATGAAAAAATTTGTGCAAAAGCATGAAAAATCTGACAAATCTCGTACATTCTCCGGCAAAGTCGATCTTCAGGTCTGTTCTCTTCTTTTTTTTTTTTTTTTTTTTTGTTGTTGTCAAAACAACTAAATTTGTGCAAAAACATGAAAAAAATACAATCTTTATGTCAGGATTTGCTGTATTTGTTTTTTTAATTAAAATTCCTGAATTTCTTTTCTGGGAATTAAATAGGTATTCAGGAAAAAAGAGTTGAAAAAAATGGCAGAGCAGCAAGTGAGATCTAAAAAAGTGAATCAGCTTCGACCATCGGATTTTGGGGTTAATATAACTGTAAAGGTTATTAGTAAAAAGTCAATTGCACAGAGAAATCGTCTTGCTGAGTGCTTGGTGGGTGATGAAACTGGAATTATTATTTTTACTGCCCGCAATGATCAACTTAATTATTTTTCACCAAGAGTTTAACATCAATGGTTGATTTCCTGAGGATTTATCCGTAATGCATGTCTTGTTTATGGTTTACAATGAATTTTTTTTACGTTTTAACTGTTGTATTAGATGTTCTCTCGAAGCAAAATAATGTTAGGATTGAGAAAAAATGAATCTTCATCGTAAGAATTTGCTTGTATCATCAATTGGGAACAAATATTGTTAAGATCTTGTCATTGATGGTTGAAGGGGTTGAAGTATTGTATATAGGTGTTCGTAACACGCAGCGGAAGACAATAACAATCCTAGGCAGATCTTTTCGTGTTTAAAATTTATTTATATATCAATAGATCAGATCTAAGACGTACCTGGTGAAGAAAGTATCGTTTCAAATTCTTCGATAGTGCGAAGACTCTATGCGTATCCACACCGAGACCGATCTTTGCTATCAACTCTTTGATCAATAAAACCCGCGAACAAATTGAACGAAGAATATTGTGTTGAAATTTTTCTCAAAAATATCAACTCAAATTAGAAGAACAAAAAACACTTTTCTTATAATTGTATTTTCTCTCTTGCCTTTGTATTGCACTTTCACTTTCACAAAGTGATTTTCTTCTCAAGAAATAATAATAATGCAAATTTTCTCCATCATCCTTTATATATCATTACCTACAAACTCATTTTTTATTTGGTTAAGGTAATAATTTACTTAGGGTAAAAGTTTATTCCAAAAATAAACTTTGTATAATTTTCCATAAAATTTCGAATCCCATTCAGATGTGTTTCGGCGAATAGTAATGTCACGTGATTATTCTAACTCAAAGTTGGAATTGTTTTCATATATTAATAGAATATTAATCTCATTCCAAATGGGATGAAATTGCACGTGAGTCAATCCAATTTCAGATTGGAATTACTAACAAGCCATTCATTTATTTTATATTTTATATGCATCTCTTATATAAATAAATATTAATTATATATATCACATACATATTTCAACCAAGAGATATATTTTAATTTTCTATTCTAAATAGAAAACTTCAATTCGTTCACAATATTAATTATAGTCTATGTGCTAAAGAGTATAATAATATTTCATTTGGACTAATAATTTATTTATTTGACTAATTAAATTCTATAATTTAATTATAAAATAACAATATAATTAATCCTTTAGCAAAGATCAGAACACTCGTTAGTGTGTGACTCCATAGGTTCAATACTAAGCCGGTAGCAAATTGATCACATCAATATACTAACCAACGGTGACATCTAGCAACACACCTTAATAACCGGATAGAATAAAGTATACAATTTACTCTCAAGAACCAGTAGAAGAATAATGTAGTAATTCCTTCTGTCCTTATAGCTCTGGATCACCCTAGGATATGGTTCAACTGTCAAATCCTAATAGGCGACCAACTATGTGTTCATGTCAAATATAATCGACCATTGAATGACCTAAGAAACTCTTTTCTTCTTTCATTCAATTGTCCTGGCCAAGGTCTTAATTTAGTCGTTTATAATTTATGACAACATGGAACTTAAACTCATTACCAAAAGTTGAGAGATTCCATCTTGATCAATCACTAATTCTACAAGTATTTAATCGCACCCAATATCCTTTCAACTATTGCCATAGGGACATAGATGTATAGTATCACAGCACAATAAATAACTTGTCAATTACTATGACGATCTCAGGTCAAAGGAAACTCTTACATCACATTCTTCAAGAGAATATCCTATTGACAGTTTATGGTAATTCTAACCATTAGGAATTATCCAATGAGTCGGTTCAATGACCATATCTCTATATGTGCCATCTATCTATGTGATTAAGTTAATGAGATCAACTAATCTTTATCCAATAAAGACGATCACATAAATATTGATCTAACCGGATTACTAATGTCCAAATTAATAATC